ACAACGAAGCAGAGTATGAAGCGCTTATCGCAGGACTCAAATCAGCATACTACATAAAGGCCACCGAACTAATGGTTTACAGCGACTCACAGCTGGTGGTAAATCAAATTTCTGGCGACTATGAAGCAAAGGATGATAGGATGGCCAAGTATCAAGAGTTGGTCAGAACAGAAATCAAGAAATTTGAAGTAGTAAGGATAGAGCAAATCGGCAGGGAGGAAAACAGCAGAGCAGACGAACTAGCAGGTTTCGCCTCCATGGCAGATACCTCCATACCCCATCCACTATTGATCGACTACCTACCTAGACCAAGCATAGAAGACCCCGAAGCAGAAGAGGTATGTTGCACAGAACTAGGCCCCTCTTGGATGGATCCCATCATCATGTTCTTAAAAGACAGCATCCTACCAGAAGAGAAAAAAGAAGCCAACAGAATAAGAGCAAAATCGCAGCGATTTTGGCTATCTCCATCTTTGGCATTATACAAGAAGTCATTCTCAGGACCTTACCTAAAGTGTGTTCATCCCAGCAAAGTGGAAGCATTCTTGTTCGAAATACACGAGGGGGTGTGCGAAAGCCATCAAGGGGGAAGGTCGCTAGCTTACAGGGCCATTTCGCAAGGTTATTGGTGGCCATATATGCAGGCAGACTCAGAGAAATATGTAAAGAAGTGTGAAAAATGCTAGAAATTTGCATATCAAATACATCAACCAGCTAGAGAACTCTTACCATTGACCAGCCCATGGCCTTTCGCAATGTGGGGCTTGGACATAGTAGGACCACTTCCAACAGAACCCGGCGGCAGAAAATTCTTTCTCGCGGCAACAGACTACTTCACAAAGTGGGAGGAAGCAGAAGCATTGGCATCAATTAAGGAAAAAGATGTGAAGAAGTTCGTCTGGCAAAACATCATCACTCGATTTGGCATACCAAAGGCCCTAATCTCAGACAATGGTGCTCAGTTCGACGGCAGAATCTTCAGAGGCTTTTGTGAAGAGTACAAGATAGAGTTATACAATTCTACACCGGCATATCCTCAAGCAAATGGCCAAGCAGAAGCATCAAATAAAGTCGTCTTGAATGGACTTAAGAAAAGATTAGAGAAGGCAAAAGGCAAATGGGCGGACGAACTTCCTCATGTTTTATGGGCTTACCGCACCACACCTCGACGATCAACAGGAGAGACACCATTCTCCTTAGCCTATGGAATGGAAGCAGTAATCCCACTGGAAGTTGGCCTCCCCACAATTCGAAGCGAAAATTTTGATCCAGACTTAAATGCAGAAGCCATAACATTGGAACTTGACCTTGCAGAAGAAAGAAGAGAAAGAGCACTGGTTCACATTGCCTCATACCAACGAGAGTTAATTCGAAAATACAACAAAAAAGTACACCCAAGACAATTCAAGATCGGCGATTGGGTACTGCGCAAAGTCATGGGAAACACCTTAGTACCAGGAGATGGCAAGTTAGGGCCGAACTGGGAAGGTCCTTACAAAGCGGTTGGGTTAGCAGGCAAAGGGGCATACCACCTAGAAGACAAGGACGGCAAAGCAATCCCTAGACCATGGAACACTGCCAATCTCAAGTTGTTTTATTTTTAGCTTTTTCTTTTTCAAACATGTAATTTCTTCTTTTTTCTCAATAAGACAACAAATTCTTTTTCAGCATGAGTTGATCTTTGTAAAAGTCAGTCTTAGTAAAGATAGGAATATTGCAAACCGTTTGTTCTAAGTTAGCTGGAAAAAACTAACTTAGAGGTTGGCTGGAATAAACCAACACCCTTCCTAAGCCCAGGATAAGGATCCAGGCTGCAGGACATTTGGTCGGAATAACCAAACAATGTTCTTAGTTAGCTGGAAAAAACTAACTTAGAGGTTGGCTGGAATAAACCAACACCCTTCCTAAACCCAGGATAAGGATCCAGGCTGCAGGACGTTTGGTCGGAATAACCAAACAATGTTCTAAGTTAGCTGGAAAAAACTAACTTAGAGGTTGGCTGGAATAAACCAACTCTTAGTACTCTTCAGCCGAAGTATGAGTATGGCTGAAGAGTGGTTGGCTGAAATAAACCAACTCTTAGTACTCTTCAGCCGAAGTATGAGTATGACTGAAGAGTGGTTGGCTGAAATAAACCAACTCTTTGTACTCTTCAGCCGAAGTAAGGGTATGGCTAAAGAGTGGTTGGCTGGAATAAACCAACTCTTTGTACTCTTCAGCCGAAGTAAGGGTATGGCTGAAGAGTGGTTGGCTGGAATAAACCAACTCTTTGTACTCTTCAGCCGAAGTAAAGATATGGCTGAAGAGTGGTTGGTTGGAATAAACCAACTCTTTGTACTCTTCAGCTGAAGTATGGGCACGGCTGAAGAGTGGCTGGCTGGATTAAACCAACTCTTTGTACTCTTCAGCCGAAGTATGGGCATGGCTGAAGAATGGTGGCCTGGATTAAACCAACTCTTTGAACTCTTCAGCCGAAGTATGGGCACGGCTGAAGAGTGGCTGGCTGGATTAAACCAACTCTTTGAACTCTTCAGCCGAAGTATGGGCACGGCTGAAGAGTGGCTGGCTGGATTAAACCAACTCTTTGAACTCTTCAGCCGAAGTATGGGCACGGCTGAAGAGTGGCTGGCTGGATTAAACCAACTCTTTGAACTCTTCAGCCGAAGTATGGGCACGGCTGAAGAGTGGCTGGCTGGATTAAACCAACTCTTTGAACTCTTCAGCCGAAGTATGGGCACGGCTGAAGAGTGGCTGGCTGGATTAAACCAACTCTTTGAACTCTTCAGCCGAAGTATGGGCACGGCTGAAGAGTGGCTGGCTGGATTAAACCAACTCTTTGAACTCTTCAGCCGAAGTATGGGCACGGCTGAAGAGTGGCTGGCTGGATTAAACCAACTCTTTGAACTCTTCAGCCGAAGTATGGGCACGGCTGAAGAGTGGCTGGCTGGATTAAACCAACTCTTTGAACTCTTCAGCCGAAGTATGGGCACGGCTGAAGAGTGGCTGGCTGGATTA